GTGACAACCCAAAACTTTTTCCGTTTCTATCTAACCGATTTCTGTTAATAAAATTTGAATTTTATTAAGTTTCCGTCAAACTTCTTGGTTTAGAAAATCATCTAGTTTTATATAATTAAATTTTATATAAGTCGGAACCAAAACTTCACGAAACCTCGAATTATCCATTGATCAAAACATCGGTTTTCGGCCTAAGTGAGTTTACGGCCGTAAACCCGTGTACGGCCGTACACTCGTTTACGGCCAACGTTGGGTGGACCCCACCACCGACCTCGAAAAATCCTATAAATACGAGACCCTACCCCTCATTTACACTTTTCTGGCCGGACACTCTCTCTTTCTCTCTCTAAACTCTTGGCCGTACACCCCAAGAACACCCGTATTCTTCCAAAAATCATCGAGAATCACCGTTGAGAGTCATTTCGGAGCATCTAGAACACGTTTTTCATCGAAATCCGGCATCCTTGTTCTTGAGTGTACGACCGTACATCCTTCAAATCTGCAAATCTTCATTGACCGCACACCAGTTCACGGCCGTACACCCTTCAAACCTTCAAAGGCCGTACACCCTTCGAGAGGAGTTCACGACCGTAAACATTTCACAACCGTAGACAGTTCACGGCCGTAAACCCCCTTCACGACCGTACACATTTCCTAAGTGGTGCTTTAGACTGAAAACCCACTTTCCTCGATTCAATCAAGTCCCGGTAACATTCCTTAACCGAAAACAGGTGTTTTTCTAACACTTTATCTAACGAAATCGCTAATTTAGATACATATACGGTTATTAGGATTCCGTTAAGTGTCACACTACAACTCGAGGGTCTTCATTTCGGTCCGTTGATTCTATGCTTGCACACAACTAACCGTGAGTTCATACCCCTATGCCTTTACTGTTTTTTTTACGTTTTCAGGGGGGAATACAAGCCAAACATAAATGATTTTGTGAAACTTATACAACAAGGATTTCAATAAACTTAAAACGGATGAAATTGATACAATCATACAATTTCTATACTTTTATAAAATATATAGATATTTTATCCATTTTGTATTATGCAGAGCATAAGGGAAGTTTTCTTCATAATCACAGAACTTTCAATGTAAAACATGAATTGAATGCATGAATGAACATATAAACTATAATAGGTATAGTTTATGGAACAACTAACATATCAATGTACAAAACATAGATTCAATGCAATCAAATATATAAACTATATAATGTGTAGTTTATGAGATATATAGACAACAAGTTACATTCAATGGATTCATTTTATTCTACATGTAATCGTTAGTATAACATTTTATGAGTGAGCATTCTTCGCGTACTTACTTAAGTACTAACAAAAGCCCTGAGATTATAACCAGAGTCTCCTTGCGGGAGAACATGAGTTTGTGTATAGATCTATACGGTATTGACAATCCCGCACCATAACTGTTAGTTACAGTTAGGCTGGCAGGCCTGGGTGACAAAGTCATTTCGATTCCGACACCTGAAGAACGTCGTTCAGGCAATTCAATGGTGAAGTATGGTTATAACAACTCATAAATTTGGTACTAAGAATATACGATTAATGTATGAAGGGTAATAACTTTAATTAGTTTTATTATAAAGTAATAGAACTACTATACATATTAAATTTTTCAGAGCTTTCCGAACTTACTATACATATTGGTGATAACCAAAGTTTTTTTTTCATGTAAAAAGATGTTTCTTATTCAATCAAACAATGCACAACACATTCAATGGTAACTAGACATATGAACTATTACGATATGAGATTTAGTAACAAAATACACATGTTAGAAAATAATGGATTTTCTTGGAAGCATACGAATACATTCATTGATTCATTAACCGATTTTCCTCTAAAAAACATGCTTATGAACTCACCAGCTTTATGCTGATACTCTTTCAAAACTGCTTGTATTCTCAGGAAATCAGTAGACAGGTACCTCCTGGAGTTTTGAGAAGACGGAGCGTATAGAGTTTCGTCTTTTACTATTGTTATACTTTTGAAGTGTATAAACATGAATCAAACTGATGTAAATATTTTACTTAATTAATGTAATAGTTGTGTTTACTTTGATTACTGTAATGCAATGGTTGTGATACTATACATGACGTCATCCACCCCCGAACGTTTCCGCCGTTCCGGTTTGGGGGGTGTGACAATTCAGGATGTCCCACTCGAAATCAAAAGATGAAGAGTCCATAAATGTTTGGTAGGGGTGACGCCTCTATATGCCACTTGTCCGATGAGCATAAACCATAGATCGGATAAAGGATCCTTTGAAGGGATAGTGGGTTTTTGAGCAGCTCTTTTGGTGAATCTTTGAATTTTTTTTGTAAGTCGGTGGTTGCTCGTCCCCATGGGCAAAACAATAATGTCCTAAGGGAGGAGGTTAGAGGCCTTATAGTAGCATGAACTTCTTTTTCTTTTTAGGTCATACAAAGGGGGCCAATCCAAGACCATATGGTTCTTCTACAAAGACAACAGACGCTCCCAATGGCTAGGTGCCACTCTCTTTTTGAGTTATTCCAGCTTCTTCATGATTTCGTGTCACGGATTTCCTGATTAAGCTTGAGATCCATGAAATGACCAAGCTCATATTGCTTCCTTATCTTTGTTTCCTTAGATTCCTCATTGCTACGAGAGTTTAAGAAGGATATTTCCACCACCTACCCACCCAATAAGAAGTCACCACTACCTTCATCTCAAAATATATTATGGTGGGGGGAATTCATCTCTACCACCCCTTCCAACCCACTTTTCATATTACTACCACATCATCTTCTCTATTCTCTCACCTCCATCCATCCCAACTCACAACATATAGAAACTCATCCCTCCCATTAATCCCAACTCGCTCAATTCTTTAATTTTTGTTAGTTTTAAAATTAAACATTTACTACTTTAAAACTATTAAAATTGAATAAAATTAAACATAACCTTTCTTTTATTAAAACATAAAGTAGTACAAATGGAAAAAAGATAAAATAAAAAATTAAAATTCAAAGACGATAATTAAAATCCTAAAACGGTTACTAAAATCCTTAAATGGAATTCTAAAATCCCAACCATATTTTTCAGTAATTTGACGTTCTTCTCAAGCACCGTTTGCAACATACATCTACAAAATGTTCATGCAGATTGAGAAAAATTGGATATCTTGTGCCTCTATATCGCACTCTAAGTATGCAACTTTCCGTTGTTTGGTTTTTCACATGATGCATAATTTTTTCATCTCGATATTTTTTATATCTTTTTCCTACACCGCTTTGCTTATAGTTTGAATGTAAGAGATTCATTGATTATATCTACTATTTTGGGGGTTGTAAGGATATCGATGTCAGTTTCTTCGCTTTATGTTGTCTCAAATGTGGTGAGTTATCAACATGAATGATTTTCATGGTCGTCGACAAATCTGGGTGGAAATTATGCATCCGAAGAGGTGGTATAGGTGTTGGATGAATACTGTTTTTTTTTTTTTTTGCATGAAGGGGGTAGAGCGTATTCACTGGTTTTTATGATGCGTTCCAATTTAATGTGGAGTTTCACAACATCCCAGAGCCGACTCATGAAGAAAAACTTTCATTTTATAAAAAAATGTCAATATTCGCTTTGTGTCGATTTTATAACATCTACCTTGGATCTCATAATTTCTAGGTTGTTCATCTTTCGGTTGTTGATGGAGTTGAAATCATTTCATTTTTTTGGAGATCCTTCTATTTGGAGTTCATTTGGTGCTTTATATGATCTAAACTTCTCAGTTAAGCTTTAAAATGCTCTAGAACTCGCTCCCAAATTGCCTTCGACCGTTGTTGCTTGTTGTGTTCCTTATCTTCAGAAACATCGATATACGACTTAGCCAAAGCCACCTCTTCTTTCTCGGTCCATTTCTTTGACTTTTTCATTTTGTATAATCCCATGTGATCCTAACATCAGGTCCAAGTTCTTTTCTTGTTTGTTCATTTTGAGTGGGAACGAGTTTTCCCCTAGATTCTTTGGATTCTATGTTTTACATTTCAAAAATTTGCAAGACCATGGTAGGAAAATATTTGTATTAGCTAGGTTTCAGGAAGCGATCCGTCTTTTTTTGAATTTGCCTTGAGAATCCATTTAGAATGGAATTGGATAAAATAAGAATGAAAGTGGAGGGAAAAGGAAAGGAAATGAAGAATGGTGGAATGGAGTTGGAAAGAATGTATGATTTTTGAAAATGTAGATGTTTGTATTTATAGTGGAAAAAAAATTGTGTTTTTCTGAAATATTGTCATTTTGAGAGAGAGAGAGAGAGAGAGAGAGAGAGAGAGAGAGAGAGAGAGAGAGAGAGAGAGAGAGAGAGAGAGAGAGAGAGAGAGAGAGAGAGAGAGAGAGAGAGAGAGAGAGCCATTGAATCAATTCATTTACCACATATGGATATTGGAGGGGCAACACTTGGAGGTATCTTGTATTCTTGTATACCTCCAACCCAAAAACAAAGAAAAAAAAAAAAAACTCACTACTTGGTGCATGCACCCTTACAACAAGAGATTGAAGAACTGAATCAATGACATTATCATCTTCTGCTTCCTCTGCACCTCTAAAAATCGTATATCCTATCAGTAAGTCCCATATTATACATTCAATCCAACACTATGATGATGCTTGAATTGTGATGTTCTGTTAGTATTTAAAGAAAATGTCAACACGAGCGAACCACACACTACAATCCTTAGAAAATTTATATGTAAGATAAGCATTGGACAATTGTGGACATCATTGTCATCGAAAAGAACTAACAACGACGTAAGGATAACGAAAGAAAAAACAACATAGGATAAATAAAAATATTTAAGAAGTAGATCTTCCATGTTCTTGGATGCAACGATTGTAGGCCGGCTTACCTAACCATATCCTACTTTAGAAACAATAAAACATTTATATTAAATAAATTTATACCTTCTTCGTTGAGATAAGGGCCCAACCGTTATCTACACCATAAACCATAATATGGCAGAGGTGGTGGACGTGTCGCCGGGGGTGGTGGTGGTGAGAAACAAGCAGGTGATATTCAAAGAATCTCTATTTGTCATGTGACCCCTACATGAGGGGTCGAATGAACAAGACCTTTACATGCAGGAAGTTACGTACCTTCTTTCACTCCTGGTTCGGTATGTCTACATCACTCACTCACTATAAAGATTACTTTTTTCCAATGGATTTATCCACCAAATTTGTTTCATTTCATTCTGCAGCTTATATCCGGATATGGAGTCTCAGAAGTCTTGGATTCGACTCACCCCTACTTCAAGAAAGGTGACTTGATATCAGGACCTTCCACTAACTGGGAGGAGTATAGCTTGATCAGGAATGCTGAGTCATTGATAAAGATTGAACATACAAATGTCCCTATTTCTTACTACACTGGAATCCTCGGTAGGTTAAGTTATTGATCGAAACATTAATTTTTGTTAAAATATTATGTGGTTCTTGAATCCGGACATGGTTTAGGAATGCCAGGCATGACTGCCTATGTTGGTTTGTACGAGATTTGTTCACCCAAGAAAGGAGACACCGTGTTCGTGTCAGCAGCATCTGGAGCTGTTGGCCAGCTTGTTGGGCAATTTGCCAAACTCTACGGCTGTTATGTTATTGGAAGTGCTGGATCCAAAGAAAAGGTGAAATTCAATAGAACAAAATCGACCAAATTATGTGTCACTAATGCCTGTAAATCTCAATTATCCAATTATTATTACCAGGTCGATCTACTAACAAGTTTGGGTTCGATGAGGCTTTTAACTATAAAGAAGAGCCTGACCTCAATGCTGCTTTTAACTTTAAAATAATATTAAGACAATATCTCACAAGCTATTGACTTTCGTTGTGACAGGTATTTTCCAGATGGTATTGATATTTACTTTGAGAATGTTGGTGGAAAGATGCTCCATGCAGTACTAGTCAACATGAGAGTTAAAGGTCGCATTGCTGTTTGTGGGATGATCTCACAATACAATATTGATCAACATGAAGGCATTCACAACCTTGCGTTCCTTATCTTGAAACGTATCAGAATGGAAGGGTTCTTGGTTCCAGATTACTATCACTTGTATCCTAAGTTCTTGGAAACGGTTTTGCCTCTCATTCAAGAAGGAAAGATAACGTATGTCGAGGACACTGTTGAAGGGATTGAGAATGCTCCGGCTGCATTGGTTGGGTTGTTTACAGGAAAAAATGTCGGAAAACAAGTTGTTGCAGTAGCTCACGAGTAACCATCTATTTGCTACGTACTATGAGAGAATCTTCCGTTGATGTACACTTGTTTTGAAAATAATTACCTTATATTCGAGAGTAATTTGAAAGATAGTTTACAATATGACCCATTGTTGGAGGTTAAATCGGGTAGTGTTTTCCCTCTTTGAGGTCGAGGATTCAAATCCTGTCGTGGACATAGATGGAATAGGATTTGAATCCCTACTAGAAACATAACCTTCAGCGACGAAATTAGCTACGGATTCTATCCGTAGCTAATTAGTGATGGATTACCGAGGGATCATCGACAGAATGCATAAATATTTCGACCGAAATACTTATAGACTTTTAGAGAGGTATTACCGAGGGATCAACAATTGAATTGCAAGAATTTATCGACAAAATCGCTCCCTCGCTAATCCGTCGCAAATTAAAACATTTTAGTGAGGGAACGACGAACTACTAAAAATCACACGCCTTTTTTTCCCATCCCTCGCCAATCGCTCACAGAAATGGATGCCTCCTTTTTTTCATTCCCCGCTTTTCTTTCTTTTTTCTTTCCCTCGTTTTATTTTCATTCCCAAACTCTAAACAATTTTCTCCAAAAGCCCTAATCGACCTCTGTCGACTCAAATTCCTCCTCCGCCCGGAAAATCACCTCCACCACCGTCCACCTGCGTTGTCCCTCTTTGAAGTATCATTGAAAAGTATAGGAAAACCTCATAAATCACATCATCGCTTTCTTTCCTCTCGGTCCATCTGCTTTCCTCGTTGACTCGCCGTTTCCCTGCAACAACAATTGGTCTATTGGTTCATCATTTATCGTAAACTCTAGCCTTCATCACCTTCCTAGTCTGGTTTCTGGTTGTCTATAAGTTCTATTTTCATTTAGCTCTCTTTCTTCTCTTTCATTTTAGATCAAATCAGAACTCGTTTTTCTAAGCTCTGTCTTCCATAACTCCTTAATTTTGGTTTTCCTAGGGTTTTCTTGTTGCTGACGTACATTTTGTTTTTCCTATTACAATTTAATAATCTCACAGGATGAATTTGTATGATATGAATTTGGTGCCGGGTGTAGGCATTTGACAAGGGGCTTAATGTCAAAACGACAACAATATATGGAGTGGCCAGAAGATGTGTTGCCGGAGCAATTAACAACTACACCACTCAGCTACTCGACTATGGCAAACAAACATCTCAGTGTAATTAAATTCACAAATTTCTTCATCTGATTCTTTGCTTCTAGATTTTATCACTTTGAAGATGAAAAACATTATTATATATTTGCAGATAATCTCACAGAAGCGCTGCTCTTTCTTTTTCATTTCATGGGAGATATTCATCAGGTATGTGATAGTAACCAATTTGACTTTATTATCTACAAGTTAAAAGACTAAATTGCCCCTGTTACAGCGGCTACATGTAGGATTCACTTCGGATAGAAGTGGGAACACGATTAATGTTCATTGGTTCACAAGAAAATCAGACCTTCATCATGGAAAACTCCTAAAATAGTTACCATTATGTAATCTAAATTAAGAGTCTGTTTTAACTTGAAAATAAGTTTCAAATCCAGAAGCTGGGACTTGAAGAAACCCGAAAAGCTGGGCTTGCTCCTACAGAAGTTGATGAAGATGGAAAAGAAATTAATCCACATATTCCTCGGTATATGTCATCTGCTCCTTGGTATCTCAATGCAGAGAGACCTGTACGCCTTTTTCCATTTTCTTTTTCTTGCATTCTCATTAATCATGTCACCATATAACTAAAAGTAAAACCATCTTTCTTGTGTCCTGAAGAGTTTAAAACATCAAAGGAAATGGAAGTCAGATCCCAATTACACAAAGTCATGGTATGACAGAGGAGCAAAAATATACCAAGCTGATAAGTACAGAAAAGGTGCATGCGAAAAGTAAGCAAATTTTATTTTACTTTTCTAGTTTTTATAACTTGATTGCTAAATTTTTTAATTGTTTTAAGCTGTGGAGCTATGACACACACAACCAAGACATGCATGGAGAGGCCACGTAAGCTAGGGGAAAAATGGACAAGTAAAAACATAACACTTGATGAGAAAATAGAGACTTTTGAGCTTTGATTATGATGGAAAAAGAGACAGGTGGAATGGGTATGATGCAGCATCTTATGCTCATGTGATTGAATGATATGAATCTTGTGATGAATCTAGAAAGAAATTCTTAAAGATCAACAACTTAAGAAGTTAGAGGAAAAGGGTAACACTCAAAATGTGGAAGAAGCTGTTAGTGATGACGAAGATAATGAAGAAACTTTGGTCTTTGAGGCCCTCTCACAGATTCAAACACTGACATTATTGCATTAAAGAACTACATGGATGCTCAGTATTATGGTGAGATTGGTATTGGAACTCCCTCTCAAAAGTTCACTGTGATCTTTGATACTGGAAGTTCTAATCTATGGGTGCCTTCTTCAAAGTGCTACTTTTCAGTGAGTTTTGACTTTTCTAATTCAAGATTTCTCTCAATCTATAGCTCCAATCACGTGCTTATAATTCTTGATATGGATACAGGTTGCTTGCCTTTTTCACTCAAAGTACAAGGCGAGCCATTCAAGCACCTACAAGAAAAATGGTATAGTCTCTTTTGATTTTTTCTCGATGGCATTTTCGTAATTAACTGTATTTTCTTCATATGTCAATTAGGGACATCTGCTGCTATTCAATATGGAACTGGAGCTATCTCTGGTATCTTTAGCCAAGACTCTGTCCAACTTGGTGATCATGTTGTTAAAGAATAGGTAAGAATTAAGAAATTTTGGTTTTTGATTCACTTAACTACTATTTTCTCATTATACTTTTTCTTTTAATCTTTTTTTTTTCAGGATTTTATAGAGGCAACAAAAGAACCTGGCTTCACTTTCTTAGCAGCCAAGTTTGATGGTATTCTTGGCCTTGGATTTCAAGAATTCTCTGTTGGAAATGTTGTTCCTGTGTGGTAGTTTTCTTGCCCTGTTTCTTATTGACTTAATTGATACATAACTTAATTAGGACATATATAAAGCAATGTTTCTTTGAGTTATTTCTAACAGAGGTGGCTTAATATGTTAGTGTCATTTCTAAATAAAGGGTAAAATGGTCATTTACTCAGATTCAGATTGTTAATTAAGATATTTGCACACCGTTTTAGGTACAACATGGTAAATCAAGGTCGATCCTAATCATTTTAAGGGAAAACACACATATGTACCTGTGAATCAAAAGGGTTATTGGCAGGTAACTATCTTATTATAACATATCTACAAAATATATATATATATATATATATATATATATATAGTTCTTTATCTAAATTTCATTTTTCTTTTTTGTTTTTAGTTTGATATGGGCGATGTCCTTATTGGAGATACAACTACTAGTAATCTCAGGCTATTCTTGTTTATTCATCTGAAATTAAGAATTATAAAAAAGTGTAGATTTTTTTTTATGTACCAATGTTTTTCAATTTCAGGATTTTGCAGTGTTGGTTGTGCAGCAATTGCGGATTCTGGAACCTCTTTGTTGGCAGGTCCAACGGTATATTTTAAAAATTAATTTTTTATAAATGAGAATTATAAAAAAATGAGAAGTTCTATGCTGTGAGTAATAACTTTTATTGATTTATCTTTATTTATTTATTTATTTTTTATAAATATTTTCTCAAAAAATTAATATTATTATATGTTGTTGAATTGCAGGGGGATAACCAGAATAGAGTAAGTGGACAAGCATTGGAGTTCAAGCAACTGAACATACATGCATGGGAAGCATTTGAGAAGGGCAATGATGTCCATATGCAAGTTGCTCCTTCACAAACTGAATTGTTGTATAAGAATTATAAAGTGAACAAAGAGAAGCTGAAATCTCAAGTGAAAGAGAAGTTGAATATGATCGTGCTAGAAGAATCATCAAAGGCCAGGTATTTTTATATTTTTATATTTTCATTAAATTATAAATTTTGGTATGAATATAGCTAATAAACTGTTGTTTTTATTGTAAAGTTATTTGGGTTTTAATACTATGCTCAATGAAATTCTTTTTAGGGTTAATCTCATAAAAGGCCTTATATTTTGTGTTTTTTTTCCGGATCAAACCTCAAATGTATTATTTGCCTTATATAAGTTATATTACCTTGTTCATTCCATTCCTTTGTCCATTCCATTCCATCTAAGCAATGACCCTTAGAACATACATCTTGTTAGGTGTATTTGTAACTCAAATTTTAGTTGATAAAGGCGGTTGCATGCAATCAGAGAAGGGCCCATGGCAAGTCAAATTTGGTGTTTATGTTTAAGAGATTACAAATTTGATGTTTATGTTTATGTGTATTTGCTTTTTGGTTGGAATGAGAATTTAATTCCATTCCAGTCCTGCATTTGGTTTCATATGAGTAGACACTAATCTCTTTTTCATCAATAGAAAAGCATTGCTTCCAACAAAGACCCTGAATCTAGCAAAAAACATGAAGACATCAAGCAACCAAGTCTCCTTGCATTGCAGGAAAAACTAAGCGGAAATTGGTTTTCCCAATTCCATGGGATTGAACGGGAATTGGAATCCAATTCCATTTTGATCCTTCTTTTGGACACAATATATCAAACAATGGAGAAGGTGTATGCGGAAATGCAAAATATGAGAGGAAATTTAGAATTATGGTACATTATACTTTGAAATCAAATATCAATCAATGTTAAACTTTGATATTTGATGTTTATGGATGTTTTGGTAAACTTTGATGGTTAGATTCTTTTTGTATTTTAATGTTAAACTTTGGTTTTGGATTGCATAATCATTGGTGTTTTTGGTATTTAAATGTTAATATTTGTTTTGGGATTAATTTAATTATTTGATTTTTTGGTATTATTTTGTTTTAGAATCAAAACAAACAAAACTATGATATTATGTATTTGCAAGGGAGTAGCTACGGAAAGAAAAAAAAATGACATCTTAAATCTGCGAGAGAACAGCGACGGAAGGAAAAAAAATCACCTCTAAAGTTTGAGAGGGATTAGCGACGGATTAGAAAAAACAGATATAGAGGTTTGCAAGTGATTAGCGACGAAATAGTGATATTAGGTTTTTTCGCCAATGTCCTAAATAACAGTATTAAGTGCCATTTTGCGATGGATATTCTATCGCTAAGGTGATCGCAAGAGAAAACTAATCCGTTGCTAAATCCCTCGCTAAGTTATTAGCCACCCTTTAATTCGCTATGGAGTATGTTTGTGGCTGATCCGTCGCAAATGATATTTAGCGACGGATTTGCGATGGATTCGTCTGTCTCTAAAACTCATGTTTCTAGTAGTGAATTAAGTGTTAATTTAGGAGTAGATTATATATTTACATTTGTGTGCTAAAAAAAAATACCAACCATGCTGAAAAATACCATAATGCACACATTAAGTATGGTCTTTCCAATACAATAAAAATCGAATAATTAAACAAGTAGAATGAACAAAGATTATAATTTTTATGATTGGATTTTATTTATATGTTTAATTAGTTGGCTTAAAAATAGAACGAGTTAATTGATAATTGTGATTAAGAAGAAAAAAATATCCCACGAACTAAGTTTACTATTACATTATGAAACACTTGCATCGAAATTATTAAAAGTTTATAATCTCAAAGAAAAAAGATGTTATTTAAGTACAAATCAAATAATGAAATTTAATATGAGATTTAATTGTAATCTTAAAGTCTGTCTATTGCCCACCACGGATGAAAGTGGGTTCAAACCCGACTCGGATGGACTTCGACCCAGAAAACCCGATAACCGGTTAACAATATTTTTTTGTAGGATCGGAATCCGGACCGGTATATAGGAACCAGTTCCACGTTTGTTCGTCGTAAGATACCGGGTAAAGTTTGTCTAAAACCGGAAAAATCAAAAACGTCAAAGTGCATGGGTCAGGTGGAACCGGGTAAAATGGGTCTAGAACTGGAAAACCCAAAAACCCTGGAAAACCAGAATTTTCTGGTAATCACTTAGTCGATTGAATTTTTTGAAAATTTTAGCTTTGATATCCCGACTTCGGGGGACTGTAAGTCATTGAATATTAAACTAAAAATGATAAAATTTTACTCTAAAATCCTGTACAAATTCTAAACTACACGTTGAAATTAAACCGCATGCTAACACGACTTCAAACGAATTAGATATGTATATTCTGAAAGACTAAACTGTACAAATGGTCCCTGTGGTTTGTTCAAAATTGCCACTTTGGTCCAAAGGGTTAACCTCCGTCTATTTCCTCCTGTTAAAATATGTTTGACTTGTCAAATTGGGGGTATTTTGGTAATTCCATATTTATTCCCCTTATTTAATATTAATAAAAGAGAATACATATGTAATTATCGCCATACGGATAATATCGAGCCTAATTCGCATTTATAGTCCTTCAAAACTGTGAGCTGATTCAATTTCCCTTGTCATTGACTGAGGATCAAGAACCCTAATCTGATTACCAAGGTTGTTAGCTTCGATCAGGAGACTTTCGTAGTGGATGTATATACCAATGTGACACTTAAGGTTGTCAAGCACGTCATTCGACCCAAGGGTGGTTTATGGTACGTAATTTTGTTTTTAATCATTCACTTGATTTTCTTATAAGAAATTATCCCTTCTGAAGCTTGTTTTTTTTCTCTTTTCTTAAAGATGGACACCCTACAATGTTTACCATGAAGCTACATTATGGAGGCGAGTTCACAAAGTTTCTAGATGTCAACTACATTGAGGGTACTGTGACGTATGTTGATATGGTGGATATAGAAGAGTTTTTTGTCCACAAGATGGATGCAATTATGAAAGGGTTAGGATACTCAGTTCCTCTAGTTATCTACTATAATTTTTGAGGGCCTAAAGGAGACATGCATTTTGGATTACGGGCCCTAGGAAATGATGATGATGTTCTCAATCCTGCCCAGTATGTGAAGGAGAATAAACTGATAAGGGTTTACACTGAACATGGTATGTCTAACTTGCTTACTTACTTTATAGCTCCTAAACCTGTAAGAAAAGTTATTATAGACAATGAAGTTGCTTTAGCCTTGTCAATATCCCCTGAGTATAATAAGAAAAGGGATTTTATCAAGGACAAACCATTGTCATCATGTATTAAGAAATTGTCCATGGATGATGTTGGTGTTGTTAGGATTGGTGGGAATAAGGATGATCCAGCTAATGATATTGACCAGGGATTTAATGAATTTGATGAGGCAGCTAATGAGTTTGATCTTGGGTTGTACCAAAAGATTTTACAGTCTAATTATGCAGTTAATATGGAAGTCAATGAACAGAATGTAGATGATGAGGTCCATGAAGGTGAGGACAATGTAGTTAATATGGAATTTGATGAGGCAGCTAATGAATTTGATCTTGGGTTGTACCAACAGATTTTACATTCTAATTCTGCAGTTAATATGGAAGTCAATGAACAAAATGTAGATGATGAGGTCCATGAAGGTGAGGACAATGCAGTTAATATGGAAGTCACTGAAGAATTCAATGAAATGAATAAAATCAATGAATTCAATGAAATGAATGAAATCAATGAAGAGAATGTAAATGATGAGGTCCATGAAGGTGAGGACAATGTAGAGATGAGAGATTTTGCAGTTGATGATGAAATTAAAGATGAAGATAAGATAGAGACTGATGAAGAGAATGATGAAAGAAGTGATAAGAGTGAGGACAGTGAATTTTGGGTGGATGAAGACAACATAATCCTTGATGTAGAAGTAGATATGAGCGATTTTTACATAAATATCGATCTTGAAGCAGAATTTCCTGAAAAAATAGTTATAAAGCATAGAGATAATGAGAGTGAGGAGGACCCTGAATAATTGGATGGTATAGATAATGATCAATGGGATTCACTGGATGAGGGTTCTGATATCGAAAGAAAAAGGAGAATTGTACTAAAGTAATTGGGGAAGGAGACAAGGTGCTCTCAAGGTGAGATACACAAAGTAACTTTTAGGATAGGACAAAAATATAAAAGTAAGAAGGAGTTAAAGGAAAAGATACAACTGCATGCACTGGAAATGAGAAGGAATATATTCTTCAAGAAAAACTACAAAATGAGGTTAAGGGCTCTCTGTAAAGGAACTATAGCCTTTAAGGATGGTCATGTGGGTTAACCTACCCCTTGTCCTTGGGTGATACAAGGTTCTAGGTCAACAGTAGATAATACTTGGTTCATAAAAACTTACAACCATGATCATAGATGCCTCCAGACAAGAAAACTTAGATCTGCAACTACAAACTGTATTTCTAAATAGATAATGTATCAGATTGAATCCAATCCAAAAATCATAGTCAAATCTCTTCAAGAACAAATACAAAAGGAGTATCAAGTTGGATTCTCTATTCACAAGGTATTCAGGGCCAAATCTACTGCATAAAAACATGTGCAGGGGGGTTACAATAAGCAGTACGATGTTATCAGAGATTACATCTTGGAGTTACAGTCTACCAATCCAGATACAACTATGAACTTACAATTTTATTCTTAACCCAACCCAAGTGCTACCTCAAGAAGGTTTAAAAGGATGTATGTGTGTCTGGGTGGAATGAAGAAGGGGTTTAGAGATTGCCTAAGGGATTTTCTAGGTTTTGATGGGGAATTTATGAAGGTCCCTTTTCCAGGACAAATTTTAACAGTATTTGGGGTAGACTCCAATAATGGAATATACCCCCTAGCTTATGTTATTGTTGAGACTGAGAACATTGATAGTTGGAAATGGTTTCTTGAGTGTATTGGAGATGATCTCAACCTATATGAAAACTCAAACTTCACATTCATAAGTGACAGAAAAAAGGTATGTAATTAGTTGTTTACATTTGACATATTTGGATGTACTATACTAACTATGTTTTATTGCCTTCACAGGGATTACAGGATCTTAGTTGTTCCCATGTGCTGAGCACAGGTTTTGTCTCAGGCATATAGATGATAATATGAGAAAAACATGAAGAACTATGGAGTACAAAGACCACTTGTGGAATTGTACAACCGCAACAACAGTCCCAGAGTTTAACCATAGGTTGAGGGAATTTAGCTTGTATGATATAGAAGCATATAATTGGTTGAAGTATATTCCCCCACAACATTAGGTAAGAAGCCACTTCATACGTATATAACTGAAGTTCCAAAATTTCCCCTTTGTTGTAGTATTTGTTAGTATATGCTTGATATAATAATGTTATTGAAAGCCAAGAGGGCACCATTTGTATGATTAAAGATAACATACACTTGGAAATTCATGTTGAATTAAGCCTTGAAAAGTCCATGCAAATCAAACAAGAATCAAATAGTTTTAACATAAAAACATGTACTTATACCATGAACTTGAATTCTCGATTTTTAAGGCCACCATCCTTGTGATTTCTATTACTCAAAACCGAAAAATACCCATGGAAACACTAAAAGACCGAAATCCTTAGTTTGTGGCCCATTAAGGCCGAAAACCTTTCAATACAAGACCGAAAACACTTTTTTTGTGACACTATATGGCCGAAATCATCAATAGGAGTAGGTACCAAGGGATTTCAGCCATGCCTAGGCCGAAATCACCTTCTTTATGGCCGAAAACCAAGGGTGAGCCATCCTAGGGTGCTTCCAGTGGATAAGGTTTGACTTTAAGATGTGATATCCCACC